TGACCGCACATTAAAATCACCTCAGTAGGTTAAAAAAAGGCCCAATAACAGGTCCTACTCCAATCTATAGAGATGACGCCAGGACATCAATATTTTTACCATGACAGTCCTCACAATTATAACGTACAGCAAGGGTCGAGATGACAGCCTTTTTCACACCACTCACTTGACGCTCAGTTTGCATTACAGAAAGATGAAGCATTTACAAAATGCCTCCACACCCATCATCTCATTTGATCCCCACGTCAGCCCTGTGAAATAACAGGCGAGAGATGGATATCCCATTTTATCGATAGGAAAACTGAGTGGAAGATAGGTGAAGCAACATGGCCAAGTTGCACGGATCTCGGACCCACATCTTCTGATTCACTCTGTGCCATTTTGAAAATAGATAGACACATGTAGTTAAGATGGAGAAAAGGCCATGCCTTTCTCTTTGAATGTCCCTGCTTCACCCTGGGACTAACATATGTAAGTTTCTCAGCACAGGGCTGAACAGATTGATTCCAACTACTCGTCAGAGATGTGTCAGAGCTCAGGAAGATCTCCACCTGAGAAAGAGGAACTAGGAGCCAGTGTAAATCAGAAGCCATATGACCAGACACACTCGAGCAATCTCTGTGAGAAAAGGGAAGGATGCAAATAGCCTGTGGTATTGAAACTTTCCTCAAAATCAATCAGGAGTCACGTTCTGATCAGAAGGGTAGATAACAGGATCATGAGGACTGAAATCTTCTAGGGTTTCGATTCTTTCCGCCCATCCGCCACCTGCTATTTTGGTTCACCAGTGCTCTTGTGAATGGCTCCCTTCTTACCTGTCCTTGCTTAAAAAGCAAACACGGAAACATTTGTTAAGCTCCTCTCTCTCTATTTCTGAAAGCAGCCCAGGAAGTAGGGCTGACTGAAAGAGGCCTCAGCAAACATGAACTAGGGCAGGAAGGGGTTTGCAGTGGGGGCTGAGCAAAAAACAATCTCTTTTCTGTCTTCTTTTTCAATCTCTTCTCTAGGTTTCCTCCATGTTTCCCTCTGGAAATACACTCATCTACTTGGGGATATGTTCCATGTATATTCCATTCTTCTCTTCTCAGGAAGAATTTTCAGTTCTCAGAAAAGAGCAAGACAGGGAATAGGAAGGAGAAGGCTGGATGCCCCTGTGCTTTGAGGAGCACAGTCCTAATAGGGGTGCACAGGGAGGCTGACATTACACAATCGTTGATCAGCATTTCTGGGGCAGCCAGGAGGTTATTCCTAAGGGGAACACGTTTTAAACCAGCAGAAAATAAATGCTGCTTCAAAAGTACGCATCTCAGCTGTGACTTTCTTGGGTCAAAGAAGCCTTGTTGTTATTTTTCACAGTAATACTGCGGCAGCACACACAGTCTTCTGCACAATGCGCTGGGTCCTCATTTTCATAAATAAATAAACCCTCATAGGCTTTTGGAATCTGGTTATGTTTGAAACAAAACTCCTAAATAGAGGGCCTCACCTGAAACCCTGTGACCAACCCCAGTCTTTTAACCTGATTTTGTTTATTAGAGAATGGCATGCTTCCAGGCTGTGAGTGGGGTTGTTAGCTGGTTCTCAACAAGTATCCTGCGTTCTGTTTGTTGTTTAGGGGAAAAGTGGGGACGATTGGCTTATCTTGAATAGACAAAGCTATACTTTAACTTTCACCAAGAAAAACTCCCTCTTCATTGGTGTTTCTCATTTTTCTTGACTAGCCGTATTCTCAGAGAAAAGCCTAATACACATACCTATCTCCTTGCTGCTGATGGTGGAGAGTTTGGTTTCTTTCTTAGAAAACTGATTCATCCTCAACTTGATCATCTTAAGTTAAAGAGTGAAATCAACTCTATTCATTCACCAGAGACTGATCTCCTAGTATGACTATGTCTGAGGGATAACTTGGTCAAGAGGACAGGTGTCTTTCTTGCTCTTATGAAGCTGTCAGTCTAATCATTAGGAAGATGATAAAAATACTCACGCTGTAAGTAACCTAAGTTGCACTGGGATAAGTGCCTTGGAAAATGACTATGAGGTCATAGGTCAAGGACATAGGACATAGATATGGTTGGCAGCATAGGTTGGAGGTTCAAGAAGGGCTTTTCTGAGGAAATGATATTGCAAGACTTACTGGGTAAGAATGGGGTAGAGAAGAGAAGCCAGGAGGGTAGGTGTTCTAGGCAGTGGGAATGGCCAATGTGAATGCCCTTAAAAGAAGGCCAGCCCTTGCCACCATGCCCTACCTGGAAACTAGAGTTGGCAGCGGTAAGTGCAATGAGAACTATGCATGGCATGTGATGGGAACACAGAGGAAGGAGACCAGATTCCAAGGTTTCCTGGAGGAGCCACCTGAGCCAGGTGAAAGGAGGTCAGATGAAACACATTCTGGGAGGAGAATCAGCAAGGTCAGCAGGTGACAGGGACCTGGGAAATGCGATGAATTGTAAGCTGACTCCTGTTGCAGGAGTACGAAGTGAGGGCAGAGATGTGTGACCACTAGATGGAGATGTGGAGGGAGTGGGGAGCACCAAAGTATTAACTGGGAGAAAGACAAGAATGAATTGGCATTTCCCAATGACTTTGGGGGGACAAAACTATAAACAAGGACTTCTATTAAAAGGCTATGGAAGAATCACACCTCAGACTTCTCTAGGTTTAAAAGGATAACTTTCAAAAAGGAATTCTTTCTTTTTCTTTGAGATTTTTTGAGTACACATTTTATCTGCATTGTTATTATGGACTCAGTTCTTTTTAACTTTTCACTTCTGCAGATCCCATTTGCCTTCCTAGGGGTGGCATGGCCCAATGGCTCTTTATTCCTTGTGGCTTGTGGCTAAACAGCAAGGCCGTTGTGAGAAGCATAGATCCATGGTTTGAGAAAAAGGGTAGCATGTGAAGGCTTTCCTGGAAAAAGTTGCAAATGGCAAGATCTGAGGAAGGAAATTAAAGGGAATAGGTGTGTGTCTTTTCTTTCCCTGTTGTGTCCACACAGCTGAAAACTTTTGGAGAAAATCCAGGAGTCCAGCTGCCCAGCCCTTACACCCTCCACAGTCATGAAACCAGCAATGTCATCTTCCCTCTGAACAACTCTCCCCATCTTAACGTGTCTTCTGTTGACAAGGTCAGCAGGAATTTTCCAGAATATTACTGAAGGGATCTTTCTAATGATAAAAGTTAATCATACCATTCCCCAGCTCAATGTTCTTCAGTAGCTCCTCATCAGCAATAAGCCAAAACCCAAATCTCCAGCCAAGCCTTTCAGGATCTGGCCCCTGATTGTTTCCCCATTCTCATCTTCTTCCAACCTTCTCTTGGAGCATTTGTGCTTTAGCCATGCTCCATTACTTCTGTTTCCCAAAACATGGCATGCTCTCTTATGCCTGAACACTCACACATGCTGTTCCCCATGCCTGGAGCAAATTTCCATCCCCACCCTACTCCTTTCCCCACTGGTGTTGCCGTTTGCCTGGAGAAATCCTGCTCATCCTTATATCAAATGTCACCTTCCTCAAATTCCTCCAGGAACCTTAGGGGCTCCTTTTCCTGTACTTTGAGTGTACCGGCATTAGAGCTATGTCATGTTGTAGTGGAGTCAGCAGAAGATCTAGGTATCGCGGGACATTTAGCCTTATGAAGTTTTAGGGGATTCTCTTTAAGAAAAAGAACAGAAAATTATAATTATAAAACTGGATGCAAGTTATTTGGGTTAAAATACCTTTCTGCTGCAATTTTTACGAGAACATAGGGGCTCTGTGAACCTATTACTAGAGCCATGGAAGGGGCCCATGTACAGAAGGGACCCTGAATCCTAAGCTGCATTGTCAATCTCTCCCTGACCTTAGTTGTGGGTTATCATGCCTGGCTCCCGCTGAGATTGTGACCTCCTTAAGGTCAGGGACTGTGTCTTCTCTGTCTATGTTAATTATTTTTAACAGGCCAGCTTTGTTTCAAGTCATATTTCATAACCTTATAAGTCCATTCTCTGGATTCTGCCTCAACTGAGAATTATACTTGATTTAGACTGAATTTCATTTTTTTCTAGAAGTAAAACCTGCATGGGGGGACATGATGGCTTTTCAGAGGTTAACACCTGACGGTGGGGAAGAATCAAGAATGCCCATGGGAAGAAAATGGGGAGGGGTATATAAAAATTATCACTGTTCCCAAGAAGGAAACACATTAGGACATTTCCTCTCATAGGAAAGACTCAAAAACATCAGCCATTTACTATTAGCTTGTGGGCCAACAGCAGTTCAGGGAGAGGGTCCTTTCTGGGTTATAATACCTGTTTTCTATAACAGGGGTAAGGCAGACTTTATAGAAAGAGCAAGATAGTAAACATTTTCTGCTTTGCAGGCCATACGGTCTCCATTGCAACACTGTCATTGTAACGTGGAAAACAGCTGTGGACAATACATAAACAAATAGGCACGAATGTGTTCCAATAAAACTTTATTTACAAAAGCAGGTGGCAGTGGACTGGATTTGGCCCATGGGTTGTAATTTGCTGACCCCTGCTCTAGACCACAGACTGAATGTTCGAGAAAAATCATATGATGTATACTAACCCTAGCATTATTCTCTTTTGGAGAACACATAAGTGAAACCACCTTGCTGACTTCTCTTTCTACAATTGTTGGTGTTTTGCAGTTCAGAAACACAGTAAGTCAGCCAACAACTATTTCTTAAGAGTCTGCTGAACGCCATGCTCTGTGCAAGGGCATGGAGAATCAATGAGGACAAGATGGACAGGGCACCTTTCTGTCCATGCTGTGAGCAGGTATGTGTTGATTGTCTACCATGTGCCAGGCTCTGTGTGAGGGCGTCAGGATTTAGTACTGAACAAGACTGACAGGGCACCTGGCCCTCCATCAGTCCATCCATCCACCCATCAGCTCAACAAGCATTTAATGAATTTCTACTACTCAAGACAAGTTGTCAGAACTCCAGAATTTGTCAGTCACCAAGCCCATGGCTCTTGCCTCCAAATTGCTTACCTTCTAGGGAGGAGATAGACCACGTGCATTAACATCCAGGATCTGCGGTAGAGAGGGAAATGTGCCACAAGAAAAGTACAGATGGAGGGCTGTGGGCACTCAGAATAGAGAGGATTACTTCCAGCTGGAAGAGATCAAGAAGGCGGACAACATGACATCTAGTTTCCTGTTAACCCTTTAAAGTGACATCTGAGCTTGTGCAAAGATTACAAGCAGATTCTGAAAGGACAAAGCTCTTTTGTATATGTTACCAGCCCTCAGGTCCCACTGGGGCAATCTTTGCACACACTTTGTGAATTTCAGAGTTTCTAGGAACGGCTCTTCTCTCCTCCCACCAAAGTTAGCTTACCTCTCAGTTTGCCTCTTTGCAAGGAATTTCCATATTTGTCATTCCTTGTGTCATGAACTGAAGGGAGTTGTTATTGTGCAAAAGAATAGTAATAGTGATTCTTGCAACAGCTCTGTGCAGAGTACTGTTGTGTCTATTTTGCAGTTGGGGAAGCTGAGGCACAGAAGATTAAGTGGCTTACCAGCATCACAGAAGAGAGGGAAGCAAGCCAAGAACCCACATCTTTTGACTGATTAGTTGCCAATATCCAGATCAATAACCTGGAGTTCACTTTGATCTTTCCATGATCTTCTTCCATTAAGGACAGCTCCCTGCTTGACACTTCTTTCTGTACTATATTTCTCAGATGTCTCTTTCTGCTTCACTCCCATAGCCACTATACGAAGCCAAGCTCCTCTGACATTGCTCATTGGGTCAGCCAAGATTTATCCCCTGGCCACAGGAGGTTCATAGTCTATTATTCAGTTCTTTAAATTGGCCTTCCCACCTCTTTCTTGCCCTTTTCAAACTTATCAACCAGATAACATTAATAAGCCACCTCCTTAGTGTAACTTAAGATACAGTCACTGGTTATCTACCTTGTTCCAGGCACTGTTCTGGGTCCTGTGGAAGAAAAATGACAAATTTACAGACCTCGTAATTTACAAAGTATTTTACTTAGCTCACGAAGGCTTCAGGACAAGTAGCAAATCTCAGTCAAATTGGCCATAGAGAGTCTGGACAAAAGAAACATTCCAGAACAAGGAGGGATAAAAAAGAAAGGATGGGTTTTCTGAATGAGGGTAGTGACTGATTCTTGAAGAAGTTTTGTGCAGCATTCCTCCCCACCAGACCTTGCTCCATCTGCCAGCCAACAGCAGGAGAGGGAAGGGAGAAAGCGCATACCGTTCCCAATTCCATGGCAAGGATAGACGCCATATAGCTGCAGAAAGACTCAAGGGCTAAGTGGAGGGGGGCTGGCCTATTGCCTGTGCCCAGGAGTTTCAAGGCCTTAATCACCCTCTGTATTCAGAGGCCACTCAACAAAGGTGATTGGTTATGATAATTAAACTGTTTTTCGAAATAGGAGCAATTCCAAGAAGGCGGGGTGACTTTGGGAGAATTTCTAGTAGCAATCACTTCATGATTGATTGGAAATATCTACCAATATGCGTGTCCTGAGAGATGAATGAGAAATAGGTGGTGGTGTTTTCCCAATTAGTCCATTCGTCCTTGTAGAACATTTTAGGGGAGAGTAGCACTGAGGAAACAAAAACGGCCTGGGGATCTCGGAAACTCCATCTGTGAATGCCTGCCATGGTTCTAGAACTTAGGGGATTGGGGGAGGGGCATAGAGAGTGCAGATAGAAGGCGCTGTAGAAGAGGAGAGTAAACGCAATACATGATTTTAGGTCGTTGAACAGATTTTTGGTGGGAAAAAAGTTAAGAAAAATAGAAATCAACGTTACCAAGTTTGAACTTTATCTTCCTAAAAACAGTGCTTCTGTGGGCAGAGTTCATACGCTGGTGTAATGAATCATAATGACACCCCTTGGTGTGACCCCAGGGAAAATATCTGTGCCTTCCCTGAGGTTTCAGCAGATTTTTCTTTTGACTTTCAGAGAGAAAACAAGAGGAGTAGGAAACACCCTTTTTCCCCCTTCATGGTCAGGCCAGAAACTGATTTTAGGGGCTACAGTCTATGACAAATACTCTCATGCAAATTCTGTGCTTGCTTCGTGCTCCATTTCTTTACCAACTGTATAGCTAAGCAAAATGGAACAAGAAATAGCGTCTTGGGAGAAATAAAACTGCTGGATTAGATACAGGCCACCTTTATACAGAGAAAAAACTGTTAACTATGGTACTGCTGAGAAGAATCTGTGTGAGTTCTTGTAGAATTTTATGTGAGACTGAGATAGCTGATTAAGATGATGATGCCTGAGTATTATCATCCTGTGATAAATATTTCTAGAATTAAAAGGAATAATATAGTGTAGTGTGGAGGTCAGCAAACTGAGGCTGTGGGCCAGTAGCCTGTTTGGCAGGGATGTGGGGAGGGTTATGGCCCTTGAGCTGAGATAGGCTTTTATATTTTTGCCTGTTGGCCCACAAAATCTAAAATATTTACTCCCTAGCCCTTTGAAAGTTAGCTGGCTATGGTATATTGGATAAGAATATTGTATAAGCTCTGAGATCAAAGGCATCTAGATTTGAATTCCGCCTAGACAAGCCATTCATTCATTTGACAAATACTTATCAAGTTTGCACTTTTCTCCCTTGTCTTCCAGGACGCCACCCTCTCCTGGTTTGCCTCCTCCGTCACTTACCACTTCTTTTCAGTCTCCTTTGCCAGTGGCTGCTCATCCTCCTGACCTCTTAACACCAGATCCAGAGCTCTGACTTTGGACTCTTCTTTTTTGTCTGTACTCACCACACACTTGGAGTTCATTCTTTCCTGTTGCGTTGACTTATACTGATACCTTCCAAATTTATACTTCTGTCCCAGACCTCTCCCCTAAACTCCAGTCATGAATGCCAGTGTCTTCTGTAATAGCTCCACTGGACATTTAACAGATATCTCCAACTTACTGTGTACAAAACTGAGCTTCATCCCCAAACCTGCTCTTCCTAGAGTCCCCCTCATTAGTAAATGATAACTCCATTTTCCCAGTTGTGTCAGATTAAGCACTTAACCTTTCTGAATTGTAGTTTCTCATTCATAAAATGGGCATTGCACCCCTCTCAGAGTTGGTGTGAAGATCAAATGAGATAATATAGTAGTGAAATGCTGCTCATAGTACATGCCATAGTTAGCATTCAATAAGAAGAAGTGATTAAAGTATAACCTTTCAAATCTTCCATCTGAACGTCTCCTAAATCCATCTTTTCTTTCTTCTTTCAGACCCTTATTATCTTATCCCAGGACCATTACAAAAGTGCTTTAATGGTAGCCTTGATTTAGTAGTAAAGTCATAATTGTAGATAATATTATTCTCCCCATTTAAAGACTAGAAAAACGAAAATCAGCCAAGGATGATTAGGTCTCACAGCTTAACAAGTGCCAAAGTTGGGATTTAAACACAGGCCAACTGAAAAGCGAGTGTTCTGTATTCTCCAGGCTCATCCTCTGGAATACAGCCTTTATCAGGCTTCCTCCCAGGTGAAGAGCAGAACCTAAGAGGCTTAACATGATGGCCAAGGAGGACAACTGGAGCATGGAAAATGAGAGAAGGGGTTCCCAAACTGGGCTGATATGTCATAATCCTCTGGATTTTTAATGCAGATTCCTGAGCCTTGCCCTAGTGTGACTAAATCCAAATTTTTATAGGTTGGATTCCGGAGTGTGTATTTTTCAAAAAGCTCCAAAAGCAGCCCTGCTCTAGACTTTAAAAGGCAGATTTCAAATATTTAGAGCCAATAAATATAAACCATAACTTCAAATTCCAAAGGAGAAGCCAAAAGTCAGACACTCCAATATATAAATGGGCAAAGGGCGTGAAAGGAGAATTCACAAAAGAGGAGGCAAATGGCTAATAGAAAGATGTTAAATTGTCAGACCTACTCAGATTCGAATTAACGCAAAGCTTTACAAATTGATGGCATGTCATTTTTTTGTACCTATCAAATTAACCACATTCTTATTTAATGCAAATATATAATGCCTGTGAGGAGGTGAAGAGATGGGTGCTTTCACAAACTAGTGAGAAAGTAAATATTGCCACTGCCACTCTGAAAAGCAATTTAGTAGCAAAGCCTTGGAAATGTTAGGAATCTTGAATTCAGAAATTCCCCACATATGAATGGATATCCAATGAAATAATCCAGAAAGAATGAAAAAAAACACTGCATGTAAAAAACACTTTTAACAATCTCATTTACAAAAGCAAAATAAGTGAAAATAAACCAGATGTTCATCCATAGAAAAAAACAAATTCGTTGGCATCATTACATGATTAAGCAGTTATCAAATCTTTTGGAATATGCTATTTCATTTTACATGAATATATAAATACATATGCCAGGAAAAAAGTCTGAATGTCCTTACACCAAAGTGTTAACAACAGAGTCTGCGAGGGGAACATAACATTATTCTCCCTGTCTCATTTCACTCAGGCACAAATTACGTTCATTCGATCCCTCAGATAATTCTGCTCCTTCTGGTTAGAATGCTGGATCCAGATTTCTACACTGGGAAAATGTTTTTATTTTAAGAACAAATGTAGATGTCATCTCCCCTTGGAAACTTGCTTTGTCTCTTGCCTGGGCTGTGCCCCACTTGCCCCCTTATTTTCCAGCATTGATTACCTTTATCTTAGCATTTACTTACTATTCAAAAATTATCTATTGGTGCGTTTATCGCTCCTAGTAGATTATGAGCTGTTTGAACGTAAGATTTGGGAGTCCCAGATGCCCAAAAGTGCTTATTGAGTAAAGCTCCATGGATGACAGAGAGAACACCCAGTGTAAAAAGCCCCATTCAGCGTCTGTGACTCCACCAGGGAAAATGCTGTGAAAGACTTTGGCTTCAACTTAGGATGTAGAAAGTAGGAAAGAGTGGCACTTCCACAAGTACTATAAACACAATGCTGAACAATCTGAAATTTCACGATTTTTTTTGAACCAATCAGAGAATGGAGGTCTCGGGACAGCCAGCTAACCCTAAATCAAAAGAAAGACAGACAGACACCTTCAAGAATAGCCAGGACATGAGTACTTGCTTCCCTAGGGCTGGTACCATCAGGAGCCATAAAACCCGCTCATGAGAATTCAGCTCAAAGTTTTAACAAATTGCCAAAGGCCAAGTATGGGTTAACATGAGGTTATAGAAGCCCCTGGCACCAGAGGCACATGGGAATTTCCACCTGCTTGCTGGTTCTCCTCTACAGAAAACAGATTTCATTAGATGCTCACAAGAATGATTGGAGGCAGGGTAAGAATCCCAAGGAAGTCTCCCTCCTGGCACGGGCCTCAGAAAGTAGACTAGCAGCCACTGTGGGAAAGGCGTGAGTCTTACCTGGATCCTTCTACTCTACTCTCTCCTACAGAACAAAAGCATTAAACTTACAGGTAAAGGGCAAAAAACCATGTTGGCCTTGGGACAGTTGTGAAAACTCACTGTAGCTAGGGAAAAGGAAACAGAAAAAGACCCTCTAACCTCAGAAGAAGAGCAAGAATACATCGTTGGCCCAAACCAATAGGCCTCTTAAAGCTTAGGGAAGGGCAGAATCATGGAGAAGTCTTGCATTCCAAGATGCAGGGAAACAGTACCTACCTAACACTGAGTCTTGGTCAGAGCAACAGAGAGCAACCTTTGCCTCCTCACCAACCAGCAGCGGTTTAGCACTAAGAGGGGACAGAGCATGGGAAGAGACCATCTTGTGGCCTCAGAGAAAACAGAGTACCTAAAGCTGAAGGTGGAGGAGATCTTAAGGAAAACCATCTTGCAAACCAGCCTCCACCATAAACACAAGATAATACTAGAACTTAAAGTCTGTGGTTTGGGAGGGTAAGTATGGTTGTAATAAATGTCAAAATGAGCTCAATTTCTGACTCAATTGACTCAAACCAACATCTCTCCTCCTCAAAGGGTAAGTATGGTTGTAATAAATGTCAAAATGAGCTCAATTTCTGACTCAATTGACTCAAACCAACATCTCTCCTCCTCAAAAGGCTTAGCAAAAGAAAAGACATACCCATTTCCAGGCATAAAAATGATATACCTGTCTCTATGGTCATACAAAACAATATAAGGAAGCATACCAAAAATCAAGATAAAATGACACCCTGTCAAGAGTTAAAGCAATGAATGGAGCCAGACTGAGAAATGAACAGATGTTGAAAATGTCACTCAGGGAATTTAAAACAACTGATTAAGATGTTAAAGATTCTAGTGGAAAAGATATACAAGATGCAAGATCAGGTGGATAATTTCAGCAGGGGGATGGAATTTAAGAAAGAACCAAATGGAAATACTATAAATGAAAAACAGTGTAACAGAGATGAAAGATACTTTCGATGAGCTCATCAGTAGACTTGACACAACTAAAGAAAGAATTAGAGAACTTCAAGATAAACAAATAGAAATCATGCAATAGGAAGCACAAAGAGAAAAAAGAGTAGGGGAAAAAGTAGGTTGTCCACGAGCTGTAGCACAATATCAGAGCTGTAGTACAATATCAAGAACCTAACACGTGTCTTAGAATCCCAGAAGAAAAAGACAGAATGGAGCAGAAGAAATATTTGAAGAGATGATGGATGAGAATTTTCTAAAATTAGTGAAAGATACAAAACCACAGATCCAGGAAACTCAGAGAACATGAAGCAGGATAAATACTACACACACGCACACACATATCTATACATGTCATATTCAAATTGTGAAGA